ACTTGGATTGATTTACAGGAATTTCATACAGAAGAAGAGTACACTATGGGTCATACTATCCTACTCCTTTTCTAACTTGGGGTCGTGTGGGTTGGCATCAACTTCTTAGCAATTTTGACCGTTTGAAGGGTAATAAAGCCAAATAATATTACAGACTGTAAGGCATTTCATCTCTGTCCCCAGGGGTGACAACGCATCCGTGTTTTTCTTTGTTTAGTCAATTGTTTCCAATGACTTCTTACCATTAGATAGATTGTAGATGTCAAAAAAGAATAAATACGGAAATCGGCAAACGTTTTTCTGTCCTTTTCGGTAGGTAGCGCGATGCCAGTCTCACTCTAAATGCACGTTGGAGTTTTTACAGTTTATACTTGACCTCTCTGCCACCATCGGCACCAGATTTTGTGATTTTTTTTGGCAATAAATGAATATAATATGATGTAAATTTTGATTCATAAATAACCCATTCTATCAGATCCTAAAATAGCCGTTGCTGAAAAATAAAATGTTCATTCCCAACTGCCTAAAGGTCATCAGTTTAGATAACTATGAATGATAGAATTATGTATGCCTCGAGGTCTTACGTTAACGGTCTTACTACATAATAATGTTAAGGTATACCTTATGGCTTCGAAGTGAATGTTATACAAAAATTATATATATATATATATATATATATATATATATATATATATATATATATATATATATATATATATATTATAGTAATAAAAATTATTATTATTATTATTAAATTTTTGTATAAGAATCAGTTTTAGTAATACGCTTTTCTTCTTTAAAAAAACGTTCCTTCCACACTAGGATTTTCTCCTGTATCGTGGGGGCAGTTTACAAACATAAATTTCACAAGAACAAACATCAAGACCCGGAACAATTACTTGTAGGCTATAAAAAGACTTGTTGGCCCGCGTTGGATTCGAACCCTTGACTGTTAGCACTGTCACTCATTGCTATGCCACTGCGTCACGGAGCCGTCTAAAGACTTTAGAAAAGAAATGTTTTCGAAAAATGTTAATACAAGTAAATGTTGCTGAATATATATTTTCACACATTACTCAAATATTTCAAAGATATGTAAAGTCTGTCAACAATCCCTCTTACAAATGAGAGGAGGAAACACAGCAGTGTTTTGCATAACGAAAGTGCTACTATTTCACACTGGTTTACTGTGCAAGCGTGTTTATTCTGCGGTAGCACCGTAGTCGTACTGCAGCCATAATACGATGAAACGTGAATCAACCACGTTAAAAAAATTATCTTGCTAAGACATGCGACATAATGGGTAATAAATCACCCCATCTCAAATAATGGACTTTGGAAAATAGACAAGTAGTCTTGTAGCATCCGTTAAATTACGTATCGATACAATTTAATGTAAAATAATTACACTTACATTGGAAAGTACGTCAATGGCGCGGACCCTCAAATACTGCGATCCCAATCCGTTTCTCGAGCGTGGTTATTATGGTAAAGACTTCCTACAATGGGAGAACTCGATGTCCATAACTATATACTGACAGAGGAAAAAAAAGGCCTCATCGAAAATCTTCCTTCTTATTCTTTACTGTTCTCATCTAGGTATAGTAACAGATGGGAAGTCTGCAGTCTGTAATCATTTCCTAGACGGGTATGATACCACTGCGAGTCATCAAGGTACGGTAAGCTCATTCTGCGTGGATTGAACCAAAATTATCGCTACAAACCTAGGCAAAGCTAGGACGGTTTCCCTACTTATTTAAATAAAATTTTGTGTTTATTCTAATATATTTAAATGCTGTAAAGTATTTACTCTACGTATAGATTGGATATAATCAATTAAACTAAACCTAAATACAATGTTTATCACACCAAGGACACAAGATATTATCTCTGATTCACCACGCGGTAATTGCTATGTAATTGTCGTATCTGCCTCTATCAGATCGCGATGAAATCAGTTTACAATGTCAAGATTTACGCTTGCGTTGCGCTTTAGTCACAGTTATGGTTGTTTTTAAAAACAATTCATTAAAACAGTACTTTAATAGTTAATGTCTGTAAATGAAACCTTGTTAACGTTTATCTAATTTGATACAATGTATTTAGATCGGTTCGACCGAGGAAGGACCACGCTTTCTCAGAATATAGGCGTAAAACAGCAACTTAATACTGCTATGTTCCGTGTGGTGAGTATAGAGATCTGGAGACCCTTTTTTACTGGAAACGAGGCATTCCACCTTAGTCCTTAGGGGTGACAACGCATCTGTGTTTTGATTCTTAATCGATGATAAATGTAGATGTCTATCGGCCACAGCATCAACTTACCATCAGGTGGTCTGTGTGCTCGTTTGTCACCCTTATTGTATATAATAAAAAAGACTTGTAATTCCGCAAAATAGCCACGGTGTACCAGCGTAAAGCTAAAGCTGCTGTTTTTTGTATAGTGAACTGGAGACTGAATACAAAAGTCATTGGAAACGAGGCATTAGATCTTAGTCTTCAAGTTGACAATGCAACTGCATGTTGATTCTTAATTGAAGATAGATGTAGACGTCTATGGGCCACAGGATTCATTTATCTGATGGGATGTGTGCTCGTTTGTCATTCATATTCTATAAAAAATATTCTTCTTTAACTACAAATTTGCTGACGCTAAAGATATTTCTAAAAATATCACTGAACAAAATGTTAGAAAAATCTACAGGTTAATTATTATATATGTATCTTGAATATAGACTAAAGAAAAATTATCTACTATGCAATGTAGTTCGTTATTTTCAAATTATTGTTTCCGTACCTTATTTATATAATAATGTAATAACTATTTATATAATAATTTAATAACTATTTATATAATAATAATTTAAGAAAATCATCTCAGAAACTTGGCAAGTCGGGATCGTTATGTACACAGACGCTTCAAAGACTTCTAGCAAAGATTGTGTACATTCTGCAGTTTGGAGCCCTAAATATAGAATAATTTCAAACTTTAAGTTCGAAAAAACCCACCAGAATTATCAGTTTTTACTGGTGAATCTATTATCATTATAGAGGAAATCCTATATGCCGAATTTCACAACCTGGAAAATACAATATTTCTTTCTGACTCTCTTAGCTGTCTCCAAACTATTATCTCCAATTCCTTCCACTCTAAATCAAATCCCTCTCCTACCTTCTTTAGTAAAACACTAATATACAATTGTCACAAAAAATACTTAAAAGTTGTTTTGACTTGGATTCCACGCTCGGGTTCAGGACGTGATTGCATATAAACCTTGGTTTTTCCACTATCGTGAAACCGTTTGCCGTCTTCGCTTTGGTCATTTTTCCATACCGCAACACCTAGCCAAATTAAAGATAGGGTTTTTTTTTTTGAGGTCTCACCGACCACATACTTTGACCCAAAACATCCCTTGTCCTACTAATGCTACTTGTCTGCTGTCTCTAGTGTTCTCCTCATTTGTTCCTAAGTTTTAACATAATACTAGGTAATAATTTTTGGCGGCATAATTATAAATGTTCGTGTTGTTTTTTTGTAGAAAATTTGAAACCGATCACAAAAATATAATTTTTTTATACGATAGGATGACAAACGAGCACACAGGCCACCTGATGGTAAGTGATTGCTGTGGCCTGTAGATATCTACATCTATCTTCGATTACGAATCAAAATGGACTTAGGTGGAATGCCTCGTTTCCAGTAAAAAGGGTCTCCGGTTCTTTACACTCATCATACGAAACACAGCAGCATTAAGTTACTATTTGATGCCGGTATTCTGTGCGTCCTTCGTGGTCCAAGCGTGGTCTCGGTCGACGCCATGTGTACAATTAATATAACTGCAGCATGACTATACCACGTAATATTTTTTTTTAATTTACTTTGTTGTCTCTCTCATGACTGACTTGACATTGGCAGAATCCTATTAAGAGAAACTATAAAGTAAAGAAGAAGATGGAGATCAATGTGTTGTCTGCTAATAATGCCCTTTGTCTCAGCAACGGGCAGGGAAATCAAATTTAAATTAATATAAAATAATGAATCTGTGTCTTAGAGGTGTAAACAATTCAAGCTTCTAAGCTAACACAACCAAAAGATAAGATTATATCACATACTATATATATTTATATTATGTGACATAATCTTATATAATTATATAGATTATATATAATACTCGAGCTTTCACTTATAAAAATCTATAGGGCACTTCCCGTTCTAGGCCAGAATTCTAAAAATTGGTAAAAGGCAAGGAAGAAATCCAAAAAATTATTGATGAGATGAACAGTTTACACACATAACTGAGTTTTTAGTATAAACTTCATTATGTGTATAGAGGGGATTCCGTAGAAAACCAGGGCTCGAGTCCTACTCACAGTATTTATTTTATGAGCAGAAATATTAAATTATGAATAACTTAATTTTTTTACTTATTTCCATAATGGTACGGGTCTGTACATTATTTAGCCCGGTAGTAGCAGTGTAAGAATATCCAGCACCCCATATCGTCCCGTGGGTGTCGTAGGATGCGACAGAGAGAATTTGAAACAGGAGATGGGCAATCTTCTTACTACAACTAAAAATAATAGAAAACTGCAGTCAACCTTCTCCGTAAGTAGCAGCTACGGTACGGTTGAGAGGGAACCTATGAGGTAATTTATGGGAGAGACCTATATTCAGCAGTGGGCTTTTATAGGGTGTAATATATAAACTCAGATTGTTATGAATAATAAAATTTGTTGATATGTTTACTTATTTTAATGATATAATAAACTCATTTAATTATAATAGAATATTATAATAAAATAATTTAATGAAATCATACAGAATAACTACATTTTACAATAATTGAATATTAAAATCTACAAAAATATTCTTTTATCCACTTATATTATTAAATTGTGTCAATGAATATTATATCGTATAATTAAGTTTTAAGTGTTTTAGTGTACAGTTAAAAGTTTACATTAGTGAGCATTAAATCACAGAATTACGCAGTATAATCATGAGGCCAACTGTACAGATAAGTAGACAATGCGATTCACACGCTTCGAGTTCAGAGTTAAAGCAAAACCTACCGCAGTTCTTGACGCGGACGCAACCAAACACCACGGACCACTGGTTGCACCAATCACGCATTAAAAACCGTGTTCCAAGCAACTCTAATTTCTGTCCAGATAAAATGGCCTGTGCTAACGAAAGAAAAACTATCAGGACATGGTTCTATCTTGTGTTATTGCCTTATCTATGTTACGCTAATCCTCAGTTGGATTTGCCTCCGCTGCCCGAAATTTCTAGTACTCAGCGCAACCCTTACGGAGGCTATGGACTTCTGTCTAGCACCCCTTCAATTAGTAGTCAAGGGAATCAATACGACATTCAGAATAGAAATTTTCAATACAGCACTGCAAGACCAATTAGCTCGAGCACTGCAGGAGGATATCCAGTGTCCTCAACGACATTTAATAGCGGAATCAACCCAGATATAAGCAACAACGGATATCCAAGTGTAGGTTTTGAAAATGGACGCAATCCAAGTTCGACATTTAGGCCCTATGACAACATTTATCGTGATGATCGGATAGATATTAACAGTGACTCAAACTTTAGACGTAATGACCCAAATTTTCCACGAAATGACCCAAATTACGTCGGAGCGAATCCGTACGATTTTAACCGAGATGGGAATATTAACAGCATCGATGATAGGTTTCAACGTGTTAATTTGCAGCAAGTAAGAGACTTTTTAGCTAACGCCGATGAACAGGCTTCGAAGGAGTGTACAAATAACGTCGCTGCACAGTGGAATTTCGAAACTAACGTCAATGATGCAACTCAGCATGCCGCCGTAAGTAGAGAATCATTTCTTATTGTCTATTACATGCTATTTTAATTATGGCCTACTGTGACCTCAATGATTTGTGTATACTAATGTTCCTAGGGCGCGTCAATTCATAGTTCGCGATTTATACGATTTTGATTTCGAATGTAATAATCTTGTATTAAAGTTTTTAATGTTTAAATACTAAGTACTCTATTTCAACTTTTTACCTCCTCGTTACTCGTAGTGTGCTTGCTGATCATGAGATCCCGGGTTCAAATCCCGGGTTGAGCCGAAATCAGATATTGGGTTTTTCTGTTAAGAAATTCTCATTAGCAGCCCAGAGTCAGGAACTTGGCGTTGTTTCATACCCCTGCCTCAGAGGCACGTAAAGCCGTTAGTCTTGCACGTTATCTCTCACCGGTCGTGTTGGATTACAGTTCCATCTGATTATGAGAGTTAGGAAATAGAAATTAAAGAGAGCACCTGTGCTTGCGCAGGTGGCTAGTATCCATTAAAACTGAATTTTACGTTAACTTCTTTATTAAATTAACTTCATAATAAAGCTTTTCATAATGTGGTAGAGCCATGCCGCAGCTACATTTTGTTGTTATAGCACGAATCGGTCAATTTGACTGGGTAAGGATATTTTTATGTTGTGGCCCTTAGACACCTATCCTCGATTAAAAGTAAAAATTTAGATGCATTGTTACCCCTGAGTACTAAGATAAAATTCCTCATTTTCAGTAAAAGGTTCCCTGGTTTTGTATACTTTCTTGTATACTTACTGTGTGAAAGTGGTCCTTACCCGAACGAGCCAGTCCATTCTTGATACGTAGCTGCAACATGCCTTCATCTCATTTCATTCATTTATTATAAATCAGACAAAGTTCTTGCCTATAGATTGCCTTACAAGACAATTTCATTTGCCATAATTGCAACGCATGACAAGCAGGGTGATAGCTGCAGTTTTTTTTAATCAGCTGTTATCAGGATGATGCTTCTGCCCGTCACTTTGTTTCCCTCTGTTACCTCTTACGGTACCAACGGTTAAGGGGCATTGAATATTATACACGGTTAAATTGGAAGTTAAATTTCAGAGTATTTTGTAACGTTGTGCTTAACGAACTACTCGAATGGGGTTTGTTGGTGTACAAAAAGAGTAGTCCAGAAAATGGAAACTAATTAAAAAAACTCATCAGTCGATAGAAAACCTGCAAACTTGCGTATTATTTAAGACATTTAAAAAACGGTTTTACTACTCCAAAATACTCTCAAAAATGAATAAGTATTCATTCAATTTTTTATATTCTTTTTGTGTGTTTAATGTGGTATATAATAGACTTCCTCTTATTATTTTAAATATTTACTGCATTTTTATTTTATTTTAAAACAACTTAACATCTCCGAGTATTCTAGATGTTTATCAAATAAACAATGAACACAATAAACAAAAGTACCAACAATTAACTGACGACGTTAGTCCTGAGAAAATTGCGTTTTGTTCTTTAAGAGCTTGACGTTTGTGTTTACGTGCAGTATTTTATTTTTCATATCATGTTTATTCGATCTAACGGTTAATTGGAACTCTAGGTTGAACCAATGTAACTTCATTATCAGGTTTTGTATATTTGGTTTGTAGTTGTACGACCACATGGTTTTTTTTTTCGGAGTATACCTGACTGAGTCGTGGGACTTGTGTTCAAAATCACAGTAGTCAACCAAACACAAACATTCATCTTCGAGTATTTTCTTCGTGCAGCATATAAGAAAGACGTTGATTTAAGATAATTGCTATAAATATTTGTACAGTAGCATAAATAACTGATGTTTACATTATATGTTTTGGAACATAAAATGTGCACAAACTGCTCGGTAAATAAAATAAATCCAAATATTAGAAACAGTCACTCGCAGAAATGCAATGTCCAATGCATTGGTTATTGTGAGTAAATCAAATTAAAAATCAACGCAAGATATAATCTTAATTCATAATCAAAACCGTGACGGTGATTTCGAAAAATAAGGTAATTTTGGGTTTTAAATCACTAGATATTAGCTTCATTTTATTCAGCTTACTTAATGACGTAATTTGGAAGTTAAGTGAAGTCAAATGATTTCATGCATTTTTAAGACCTCTAAATGACAAAATAATATTAAAAAAAGAAACAGAAAGACGCAAGTCTGGGGACCTGTGTGGAAACACTGCTATCCGTAGAGATCTGTCGAGCATTGTTCGTTGCGAGATATGTGGGAAACTTTACCCGGAAGCTTTCCACTTGATATATGGCTTGGTGTAATACGCAAGTAGATCGTAAAAACACGTCCATTTTGGTTGTGATATGCTAGGCTCCTCGATAGATTATATAGATAGATATACGAGTATACGAGGGTTGGTTGGCACCCATTAGATAGTGGGTTGATTTGATTACCTAGTAATAAAACGAATAACCCACACGATTAACGAGCTGGTAAAATATGCAGGAAGCCGATAAATGCGGGTAGCTTAGCACCGTGTTTTGCAGCATTTCTTGGGGCAGGCCCATGTTTAGTAGTAAATTGTGAAGGGCTGTAATGATGATGATGATTATTATGATTGGTATCTACCAGTTAACCAATAGAATTTTTTCTTTATTTTTTCTTACACTAAACGAAGTCATAATGCTAGTTAGTATTTGAGGCTGGTTTAAGAAATTGATTCTTAGAAAATCTGGTTCTTCCTCGCCGAACCGACTCATTAGTGTGGCTCTTACACGTTTTTATACCTTATATTATAAATAGACACTTTTAGGATTTATTCTTCCAGGTTTATTTTTAACGACCTTATAATACAGCATTTTTAAATTTGGAGACTTTGATATGCACGAACAAGTCTCTAAATAAAGTTTGGACTTGAATTCCAAGATAAGGCAGGTAGGCTTCCTTAGCTTTATAGTTTCCTGATCGTTAATGTTTTAATAACTGGTGGGCTGTAAACATTAAATCTGACCATGCGTGTACATTCTCATCCGAGAAAGACTTGATTGATCCATGACTTTCATTTTATGATAGTGCCCCATAAGATCGAATAGCAATGGTTCCATAATTCTCAAGTATGGGATCACTGTACTTGTGCATCGTATAAAAGTGTTTGAGATCAAGCAAGTAAAGGCGATCACAAGGCCTCGAAGGACTATTTGAGCACCTGGTTTCCCAGATCTAGGGAGCAGCTTGTGCCATGCATAAACTGGGCAACCGGGTTTCGGTGATTATCTGTGTAAGTGACACGTATCATTTGATGATTATCCACCGCTAACGGAAGGTAGGATTAGGGCTCCGGTCTCCCTGACTGACGAGTAATACAACACTGAGGAGAATGAAGTGTCGATCTATAGCGGAAGGTCTATGTTAATGGAGCTAGGTTACTGGAGGTAGCGGGTATCTAGGGTCGATATCTAGGTCGAAACGATCGACATATTGCATATACTTTCAAGTGCTTATGTTTTAATAATATAATTTAAGACCTCTATTATAATAAAGTTTCTCACTCAACGTTAACAAAAATGGATATCTTAATATATGTGTACATAATTAAAATTATTTTACTTGAGAAAATTTTCACAAAGAATCTTACCTAGGTACATGTTAGCTGAGAAAACAGCAGTTGTGTATAATTGTGTTATCTATCAAAGATTAATATCTCGTTTATTGCACTAAAACAAGATTTAAGGATCTGAAAAATATTATAGTATACAAACACGTATTAAGCCAACAATTTAAAAAAAGAAGTTATTTTTATAATACGTACAATATTAAATTTCCAAAAGTTTTTTACCTAATTATTTTATCGTTTGTTGTAATATGGTCTAATTAAATCTTGTGATCAGTGATCACGCACGGAACGTAATAAGATTATAATATATTGTTCCGTTGATGATCTCAAGATTCAATTACAAGAAAAGATTAAGTGCTGTAATTTCATGTTGCCGACAACGATTTCAAAATAATGAGAAAACTGTGATTTCCAAACCGCTTGCAAAGCGTGGCAGATATGGCTAATTTAAGGAGGAGCCCTAAACTATATTTAGTCTTTCGATAAGATGTAATTAATGAATATCAGCAAGATCTGTAATCTATTGGTAGTTCCAAATTAATTGATATTTCAACAGTGCAATATGAATACTTGTGCCTATAACGATAATTAAAATTACTGCCAATGTATCTAAATCCTATATTATAAGATTTTTATACTTTAATATAAACACATTAAGTTTTTTTTTTGCAAATTTGAAATCTAATTCTCTTTACATTATGCACGTTACACATGATTTATCAATAACAAAGTGACATAAAATGGTTGACCAATATGGCGTCCGCAACAAAATGGCGGAACTAAAGAGTCCTCGACCACGTTTTATTGTCAACGTTCAGTAGGAGCTTGTGACCTATAAGGCCTGAGAGCATGGAACAATGAGATAATTCATTACATCAAGGCTTCTCTTTGTATGTTATTGTGTTCAGGTCATTAAATCATACTGTATGTAGTACTTCTGTACAATTTGACTGACCAAAAGAGTATTGTATGGCGCTTTAAGATGGTTATGAGGTTTATCCAAAAAAACCAACGGATCTTTATATGCTATACGTGGTAGAGCCACGCTGCAGCTACATTGTGGTTGTAGCACGAATGGGTCAGCTCGACCGAGGAAGGACCACGCTCTCAAAGAATAACAACGTAAAACATTGGCTTAAAGCTACTGTGTTTTGTATGGGGAGTGTAGAAAATCAGATTTGTGAGAGATTTTCCATGGAACGAAGCATTTTACCTTAATCTTATTCGAGGATAGATGTAGATGTGAATGTGTCACAACATCCGTTTATCATGAGGTAGACCATGAGCTCGTCTGTAATCCTTATTCTATTTTAAAAACTCGACTTGACATCCTGCTTGGTATTGTATCCTTTACCCAGTATGTTTCCTTTATATGCTGGGCAGAGATAAAAGAAAATTAGATTTATTCGCAGAAAACATTACTATTTTTCTAAAG